CAGGCTGGGTGACTGCATCCCAGCACGTGTCAGCTGGCCTGGGGAAGGGTCCCCACTGGTCCTCAGGCAACTCTCACTGCCCAGCTGCCCAGCGGAAGCCTGGGAGGAGCTCTGGGGTGACTGTCCTTGCCGAGACATGCAGCTTGGTCACAGCTCCTTCCTCCAGGAAGAATGATTCAACAGCTGCCCTGGGGCTGAGCCACCTCCCCAGCTCCGCTTCCTGCAGGGAGCTGAAGGGGAAGGACCCTCAGCTACCTTAGGCTTAGAAATCCAGCAGGGCCCACATCCCGGAGCGTAGCGGGCCCACCGACCACGTCCACCCCTTACGCATGTTTGACCCATCTCGTGTTTCATATTGAATGACCGTTGTGAACATTTAAAAATCAGATTTTATTTAAAAGCTCATGTTCAATTTCTCTTGAGGAATCAGATCTAGTGTCACTGGGCCACACTCTGCCCATCCCCTGTGTATGGCAGGGGGCAGCGGCCTTGTGGGCCCGCCTGACAGCAGCTGGGTTTGTGACCTCAGTACCCGAATCTGTTTCCTGGATCTGCTGTGACAAAGTACCACAAAGTCGGTGACTTCAAAGAGCAGAAATGGATCCCCTCGTGGCTCTGGGGCCAGAAGTTAAGTTAAGGGTCAGCAGGGCCACATTCCCTCCCGAGGCTCCAGGGAGAACCCGTCCTTGGCTCTGCTGGGGCCTGGTGGCTCCACGTGTTCTGGGCTTGTGGCCGCAGGATCCGGTCTCTCCCTCCAACTTCAGGTCCTTCTCTTCTCTCGGCTCTCCCTCTGCCTTTCTCTGAGAGGGACCCTTGGCATTGGACGTAGAGCTCCCCTGATAACCCAGGACGTGTCATCTCTAGGTCCTTAACCTGATTACCTCTTCAAAGACCCTTTTCCCAATAAGTTTACATTCACAGGTTCCCAGGGACTTGACGTGAGCATATCTTTTGGGGGCCACCATCCAGCCACTTCACGCCTCAGCTCCCTCCTCTGTGAAACGGGAATAATCACAACAGCGCCTGCTGCACAGGCTGCTTGAGAGACTGAGGGACACACTAGATGTCGTTAGCGTCATTCCTAATCTAGGAAGGAAAAGAGCTGCCCGCAAGGGCCATTGTCGCTGGGGTGAGCAGGGCATGTGCCCAGGAAATTTGCCCCTCAGGCCGCAGCTAACAGCCCATCCTCCATCACCTCCCACAGACAACGGCCCGGTGGGCAGGCGGCGCACAGGCACCGCCACCGTGTTCGTCACGGTCCTGGACGTGAATGACAACCGGCCCATCTTCCTGCAGAGCAGCTACGAGGCCAGTGTCCCCGAGGACATCCCTGAGGGCCACAGCATCGTGCAGGTAGGTGGTGGCTGGTGGGCTGGGGGCAGGCAGGGCCACACTCGGGTCTGAGTGCACGTGCTGGGGGGGGGGGGGGGGGGGGGGGGGCAGTCAGACCCACCTGGATCCCCAGGCCTCAGAGGCAGCAGGGTGGTTCTTGGAGCAACCTTCAGAGCATGGACTTACCTAAGGGCAGGATGGTGCTTATGGGGAGAAATGAGGCAGGCCCACCACCAGCTTGAAGGCCAGGTGAGGTTTCAGTACCAGGAGAAGCAGGGAGGGCATTCAGGCAGAGCTCAGTGGCATCGTGGTGGGGAGGGATGGAAACAGGAGCGGGCCCCGCTCCTGCCCGGGAGTAGCCAGTGCCGTGAGGAAGGGGGACCCAGGCCCCCTCCTCCCTGGGACAGAATAGGACCCCAGGTTACTATGTAATCAGGGACAGGGCCCTGGCTCCGCCCCCCAAAACACAGAAAGAAGGCATTGGCCCCCTCTTCTCCCTCCTCCCCACAGCACTCGCCTTGTCCCACCCCACCCAGGTGGGCCTTTCAGAGCAGAGAGGAGATGGCCTTGTTGCATTTTCCTCAGAAAGGAGTTGAGGAGGGAGCCAGGGCCCAGCGCTGCCCAGAAGCCCCCTTTGCTCTCTTTAGTGTGGCATATATTGGGGAAGGGACTGCGATCAGGTAAGGGCAGCAGTGGAGGCCTACATGTTAGACTGGAAGTTCAGGCTCCAGTTTACAGGCAGCAGGAGCCCCTGGGGGCTCTGGGTGGGAAGGAGGGCATGATGAGACCTCTGCCTCCCAGCGGGCCCTGGCCCTCCCAGAAGCACCCAGTTCAGTGTTTGCACTGAGCTCTGGGTGGAAAGGGAATGTGCTCTCTGGCCTCACTCTTTCCAGCTCAGTCCCTCCCCAGCTGCCCACGCCCACACGCATCTTCCCTCTGCCTTGCTCTCCTCCCACCCTGGGCAGCCACACCGCCCTCTGGGGACCCATCTCCCCACTGAGTCCAGCCTTCATGACGAGCACTGGCTAACAGGACAGGGCTCAGGCTCCGGCCTTTTATGGGCCTGCCAGCTCACACTGTCCCCAGCCGGGGCAAGTAAGCGCGACCCCTGAGGCAGTGGGAGGAGGAGATGACTCAGGCTGGGCGACTGCATCCCAGCACGTGTCAGCTGGCCTGGGGAAGGGTCCCCACTGGTCCTCAGGCAACTCTCACTGCCCAGCTGCCCAGCGGAAGCCTGGGAGGAGCTCTGGGGTGACTGTCCTTGCCGAGACATGCAGCTTGGTCACAGCTCCTTCCTCCAGGAAGAATGATTCAACAGCTGCCCTGGGGCTGAGCCACCTCCCCAGCTCCGCTTCCTGCAGGGAGCTGAAGGGGAAGGACCCTCAGCTACCTTAGGCTTAGAAATCCAGCAGGGCCCACATCCCGGAGCGTAGCGGGCCCACCGACCACGTCCACCCCTTACGCATGTTTGACCCATCTCGTGTTTCATATTGAATGACCGTTGTGAACATTTAAAAATCAGATTTTATTTAAAAGCTC